TGTTAAATGGCTAACAACTACTGCTCTCCCTCTCCCACAGACTATGCCCATCCACAGGTCTCTAACCACTCACGACACCCCCCTCACATCTACTCGGCTGCTAAAATGATTATTGATTGGATTTATTAGTACGCTGCTGTTTATTGATTATTGTTTGCTATTACCATTAGTATTTATCCTGCTACTGGTCACTATTACTCCTGTTTACATGTATATTCACCTATCACACATACACTGACACTCTAGCACCCACCACTTATCCTGCTGCCATACCCACCACCACCACCACCACTACCACTACCACTACTACCACTACTACTACCACCACTACTACTACTACCACCACTACCACTACTACTACCACCACTACCACTACTACCACCACTACCACTACCACTACTACCACCACTACCACTACTACTACTACTACTACCTTTCTCCTAATCCCTGCCTACATGTACATATCTACCTTAACTACTCCAGTATCCCTGCACATTGTATATTTGGTACTGGCACTGACCCTGTATATAAGCACATTGTATATTTGGTACTGGCACTGACCCTGTATATAAAACGTACATTCTTCTATTTCCCTTATTTCTTATTTCTAGTGTATTTTCTATTAGTTATACTATTTTGACATTGAATAATGCTCTGTTGGGTAGGGCTTGCAAGTTAAGCATTTCACTGTACCTGTGCATGTGACAAATAAAACGTGAACTATAAACTAAGCCAAGTGTGGAGCCATGTGAAAAGTCACGGGACAGCAGTGTGACGAGCCTTCAGTTCCCACTCCCAGGGAGCACCTGTAGGCATTGTAGTGGAATAGAAGAGACTCTTCTCTCACAGTGAATAAGGTAGAACAGGAGGAGAGGGACAGCTATTGATGCTACTGCTACTTCCCAAGCACACTGCTGCCTTCAATCCTATACTGCATCACTGCTCTCACGCTCTGCATGCACTCGAACAGTGTCTGTGATAAGTCTGTAGCTACTGTATATAGAACAGGACCAGAGTCCTATACAGTAGGAGTCTCCTTTGGTCCATGATCAGCCCTCTAGCAAACTGGCAGTCAGGGGGTGCATTCGAGGGGACTCGCCCTACACAAGTTCCTGTGCAGATTCTCTAGTCCAGATCCCATATATTTTAAATGCATTTATTTGGGATGCAAAGTGATTTGTAGATCTCCTAGACATGCTGAGTAGGTGTGACTATCTCTGCAACGCTGGCCTGGCTGCAGCAGGGCTATGGTAAACCACCCTACTGCTAGAACATGCTAAGTGGCTGTAAACTGAGGCATGTGACAAGCTGAAAGGGGACTGGGGGAAACAAGGAGCAGTTTCACAACACCTGCCCTGGCCTGGCCAAAACAGTATGAAAAATGTATGCACTGTAAGTCAATCTGGATAAGAGAGTGTCTGCTAAATGACTTAAAAAAAACAAAAAACATCTTGCAGAACCAGGCTCTTCTGGGAAAGTTTGACAGAAAACCCATGGTTGATGTCCACAATCTAGGGCTGTGTCCCAATGGCACCCTATTCCCTATATAGTGTACTACTAAGTAGTACACTTTATAGGGAAAATAGTGCCATTTAGTGGCCCCGTGTAGCTCAGTTGGTAGAGCATGACACTTGCAACGCCAGGGTTGTGGGTTCGTTTCCCACGGGGGGCCAGTATGAAAAAATGAATGCACTCACTAACTGTAAGTCGCTCTGGATAAGAGCGTCTGCTAAATGACTAAAATGTAAAAATGTAAATTTAAGAGGCACTTAGAGGTCTTGTAGAAAGTGATCGCAATGCGTGTCAATGCATCATAGGTAATACTAATGAATTATTCATGAACCTTCTGTGACCATTCCACGAACAAGGAGTAGCATTACAACAACCTGCATCTGATGCAGAGGGAGGAAGAACTGAGAGAACACAAATGATAACATTCACTCACTCCATCAAGGAAATTACAGGTTTAGACAGGACTGGTTTTCCTACACCCAGTAATCAACCCACAGCCACCACCACCATCCATCATCAAGTCCTCCTTACTCAAACTATACTGAACAAAAATATAAAATGCAACATTTTCAAAGATTTTACTGAGTTACAGTTCATATATGGAAATCAGTAAATTGAAATAAATGCATTAGGCCCTAATCTATGGATTTCACATGACTGAGAATACAAATATGCATCAGTTGGTCACAGATATCTTTTTTTTTTTTTTTAAGGTAAGGGCATGGATCAGAAAACCAGTCAGTATCTGGTGTGACCACCATTTGCCTCATGCAGCACGACACATCTCCTTCGCATAGAGTTGATCAGGCTGTTGATTGTGGCCTGTCGACTGTTGTCGACTGTTGTCCCACCCCTCTTCAATGGCTGTGCGAAGTTGCTGGATATTGGCAGGAACTGGAACACGCTGTCGTACACGTCAATCCAGAGCATCCCAAACATGCTCAATGGGTGACATGTCTGGTAAGTATGCAGGCCATGGAAGAACTGGGACATTTTCAACTTCCAAGAATTGTGTACAGATCCTTGCGACATGGGGCTGTGACATTATCATGCTGAAACATGAGGTGATGGCAGCAGAAGAATGGCATGACAATGGGCCTCAGGACTTGTCACAGTATCTCTGTGCATTCAAATTGCCATCGATAAAATGCAATTGTGTCATTGTCCGTAGCTTATGCCTACCCATAGCATAAACCCAATGCCACCATGGGGCACTCCACTCGCCCACACGACGCCATACACATGGTCTACGGTTGTGAGGCCGGTTGGATATACTGCCAAATTCTCTAAAACAACGTTGGAGGCGGCTTATGGTAGAGAATTTTACATTAAATTCTCTGGCAACAGTTTTGGTGGACATTCCTGCAGTCAGCATGCCAATTGAACGCTCCCTCAAAACTTTAGACATCTGTGGCATTGCGTTGTGTGACTAAACTGCACATTTTAGTGTGGCCTTTTATTGTCCCCCAGCACAAGGTGCACCTGTGTAATGATCATGCTGTTTAATCAGCATCTTGATATACCACACCTGTCAGATGGATGGATTATCTTGGCAAAGGAGAAATGCTTACTAACAAATTTGTGCACAACATTTTAGAGAAATTAGCTTTTTGTGTGTCTGGAACACTTCTGGGATCTCTTATTTCAGCTCATGAGCTCATGGGCGGCAGGTAGCTTAGTGGGTAAGAGCGTTGTGCCAGTAACCGAAAGGTCGCTGGTTCTAATCCCCGAGCCGACTAGGTGAAAAATCTGTCGATGTGCCCCTGAGCAAGGCACTTAACCCTAATTGCTCCTGTAAGTCGCTCTGGATAAGAGCGTCTGCTAAATGACTAAAATGTAAATGTAAATGAAACATGGGACCAACACTTTACATTTTGCGTTTATATTTTTGTTCAGTATAGAATGGACAGAGCTTTATAAAGGCGTTTGACACTCAAATTATGCATGGTCTAATGATCCCCTGTAGTCTAAAACAGATGCAAGTAGTACTTATGTGGTTCTATTGTTTAATTCAATTATGTTCTGTTTACATTTACATTTTAGTCATTTAGCAGACGCTCTTATCCAGAGCGACTTACAGTTAGTGAGTGCATACATTTTCATACTGGCCCCCGGTGGAAAACGAAACCACAACCCTGGCGTTGCAAGCGCCATGCTCTACCGACTGAACTACAGTTTCTTTGGTATTCTATTGAATCTGGTGATCATTTGCTGGTGTCCGTTCTATATCCTGTAGCCTGCATGCATTCATCTGGCCTGGTAAACCGCTGGACAGTGAACACATGGGGACTACAACAAAGCATCACACAAAGCAGCATAACAACCATGACCACCGCGCACAATTAGTGACGCCACATGCAGTGCCTGACTGTCTGTGTGGCCAAACTGCGAGTCGGCGGCGACTTGACAGTAGCCTATGTTGCCTGAAACTCTTCAAGAGAGATGCCTTTAAAAAATCTGGTGTGTTTTCAACTGACTTATAGGAGGTCTGATGACAAGCTTCTAACGATTTCATATAGCCTAACTATGCTACTCAGTGGTGGTTAGCTAGCTAGATGATGAACAATCCCGAGACCCCCGAAGGGATCATCAAAGACAGAAATTCGTCAGCTAAAGTAGCTGGCTAAGCTATTGTTTAGTGACAGCTTGCCATAACAAAGACAACAATAGTATGAGTTAGTGACACAATCTCTGATAACTTCCGCAAAATGAAAACTAGCAGGCTAATTTGCTAGCTAGTCAAGACAGTAATAAAGGCAAGCTTTGAATGCTGGATACCAGTACTGTCTCGCGGGGACAATGTCATCTCCACCCCTTTTCTTGGAATCCAACTTTGTCAAGTCATCGCACGAGTGAACGCACGAGTTGGCATGGAGCTGCAGTCACATCGCTTTGTGCTCAAGTCCCTTGGCAGACAGAGCTAGATGGAGCTGGCTCGCTAGTTAGCATCTAACGCCAATGTGGATGGATGGTAATGCTAAAGTTAGTTAGATAGCTAACTACCTAGCTGCGGCATCGCGGATCTGCAGAACTCAACCAGCCGCAGTTTGCATTTCAACGAACGTTCGGCCGATGCCTTTTTACTACCAATGTAAAGGTGCCCAGATGTTTTACCCAGATGTCGGTGCCACTGAACCATATCTAACGTTATTCTAGATACATAACTCAACACAAGTACGCGATACCAACTGATCATGATCTTCTTGAAAGACAAACAAGCAGCATGTAAAGAACTGCCAACCACTCATTTCTCCCACTTTGGCTCGCTCGGTCCTCCGACCTGACATTATAGAAGCCCCCATTCTACCTCGAAACGTTCTACCTGGACAAAAAACCCCAGCTGAAAAGCACTTTGGTTGGATCTCGTACCATTCTCTTCACCGTTGAGACTCAGGAAGAGCTTCTCCGAGGCTTTTATCCATCTATCGGCGGTGTTCTTTTCTGTTAGCCTTGGAAGGAAAGTCCAGTAGTCGCTGGTGAGATCTTCCCTAGCTGCAGCTCCAGCGGAAGGTTGCTTTTTCATAATTGTGCGACTCCGAACTGACGCCGCTGCGTGACGAAGCCAGCTGAGTCAGCCCCCGAGCCCGCAGCACGTCACATGACTGGACGGGGACGGGGGACGGGGTACGGGGGGGGGGTCAAATACCTGAATATATATGTATTATTTGATTGATTGATTAATACCCGCATTTATATTAGTTTATTGCCATGGGATGGGTGTTTGGATAAGTGTATTATGCAACAGGCATAAGAGTGAACTGTAAACAAAGTCACACTGAAGAAACTGTGAGCATTGTCTTATTGAAGACCTTTTCCTGCTGACCTCTGGCTTGGAATTAAAAGTGCATTATGTAAATATAGCTCGCTAGTAGGCTGTGTGTTTCTAGGTCAATGTGGTAGATCTACATACTTCTCATTCTCAATCTGACTGGTATGTAGGCAAGAGGTGGCAAGTCACCAGTAACTAGCTACAACAGGCTGAAACATGACCAACTCCACAGATGAACCCAAACAAAGAACATTTTGCAACAGTACAAAAAGCCACCTCTCTAACGCACTCCCTATCTACTGGTCAAGTTTGATACCTCCATCTCTCTCCCTCCCTGTCGGTCCCTTTCCCTCACCCTCCCTCCTCAGGCCTCTCTCCCCCACCCTCCCTCCTCACTCTCTCTTTACATTTATGAGGATGGTAGTTAAACAATATAAAGTAATTCATTAATATGGGTACCATGGGCTCAGTTGTCAGTCAGTCAGTGCCTTACCAAACTCAGATCACTAACTCAAGGTAGCTTAGTGGGTAAGAGCGTTGTGCCAGTAACCGAAAGGTCGCTGGTTCTAATCCCCGAGCCGACTAGGTGAAAAATCTGTCGATGTGCCCTTGAGCAAGGCACTTAACCCTAATTGCTCCTGTAAGTCGCTCTGGATAAGAGCGTCTGCTAAATGACTAAAATGTAAATGTAATATTTGCTCTTTCTAAAGTACCGGTGGTAACGAGTACATACATAGCACTGTGTAACACTGACCAGACCCATCCCCACAGTGACCTAGCTCACGGGTGGGCAAAGATATCTGCAAAGGGCCGGTGTGGGTGCAGGCTTTTGCTCCAGCCAAGCAGTAACACAGCTGATTCAACTAATACAGTGAGTCTTTATTGGAGTCTATGATTATTTGAATCAGTTATGTCATAGTTCTAACTGTGAGCTTTAAAAATACATGAAGAAGTGTTAGATAAAGTACAGGCCATAGAACACATTATAAGGACACACTCAGAGCTGAAATCAGAATGGACTAATTTAAGGCAACAAAAGCAATCAAAGATTATGTTTCTCAATAATACAAACAAGTTATACAGAAAACCCCAGAACAGCAGTTATTTAAAAAAAAATCTAACTTCATCTACAGTTTAACTTTCACTTTAAAAAACCCACAAACCTGCTAACATAAGTATTAAAGTGCTTTCTCAATAAATCACTTGTATCGGTTACCAAGGCAATACAGTTTAGGCATCATTTTAATATTATAGTTCCTCAAACACCCCATAATATGAACACACTGCATTCTCAGCCACTAGTAAGCCTCTCAAATTAACTGTCTCACTGTCCAATCAACCCATACCCCTAACCCACCCCTGACCCCTAACTCCTAACCCCTCCCCACTACATTTCCCCAGTATAAATCTGTATTGATTGATAGACTAGCTATAGTATTTCCCTTGCATCCCATGGATGATGAACTAGATGCTTGATTTGAAGAGTAGAAAAGAGCCCCAGCAGTTGGTTTGTTGGTTGGCTCCTGGATCAGCTGTAGTCAGCACTTTCCTCCTCTGCTGTCATAGTCAGGTGTTCCATCTAGGAGAGGGAGTAGAGGAGTTTATCAGTATAAGACAGACATCAGTGATACAACATAAAGCTTAGTCCAGTAGCCAACAGACAGTCTGCTGTGCACAGCACAGGTTTATTCAGGAGGGTGGAACTGTACAGAACGTTCATGTAGAACAGACATTCATCTTCTTTGTCATAGAGAATAGTCCATTGTGTCCGTTCTATGCATTGCATTTCTAACTGCAACGTTCTGAAATTTTCACCCTTCTGAACAGCAGCAAACCACAGGTTTACAGAAAGCATGACGACACGCACATGACAAAACATAAACAACAAACAAAGCTGAGCGTGAGTAGCCTTGACTGTTGTCAGTGGTTAGAGGTCAGGGAGTGAAAGCACACCTGGCAGTAAGGGTTCCCTGGTGGAGTCCAACACCTGATGGAGATTCTACCCACATGTACATATTACCTCAACTACCTCAACTAGCCGGTGCCCCCGCACATTGACTCTGCAACGGTACCCCCCTGTATATATAGCCTCCCTACTGTCACTTTATTTTACTTCTGCTCTTTTTTTTCGTTGTTGTTTTATTTGTACTTTTTTTGTTAAAAATAAATGCACTGTTGGTTAAGGGCTGTAAGTAAGCATTTCACTGTAATGTCTGCACCTGTTGTATTCGGCGCATGTGACCAATAAAATTTGATTTGATTTGATTTGAAGCTCCCACATCTCAACACAGCTGCACAGGGAAAATTCAAACCCATTAAAACGTTATGAGAGGGTTGTATTCTGGTTAGGAGAGAAAACAATTAAGGGATGCAGACATTGACAAACAGACTAAAGAAATAAAACAATAGAAACAGACTTTTCTAAGCAACATGTGTGTGTGTGTGTGTCGTATGTGTGTGTCCAAGCTAGAGTGAAATCTGTGGCACCACTGGCATTTCCAGGACTCTAGTGACATCTAGTGGCCATGTTGGGTACTGCTGATCTGAGTATGTAACATTATATTATACATAATAATATGCCATTTAGCAGACGCTTTTATCCAAAGCGACTTACAGTCATGCGTGCATACATTTTTTTTTTTGTGTATGGGTGGTCCCGGGGATCGAACCCACTACCTTGGCGTTACAAGCGCCGTGCTCTACCAGCTTTATGAACATACATAACTCAATTTGACATTGCAGTGTTATGTTTTTAATTTGCTAAATTTTTAAAGTAAAGGCTGAAAGGCTGTGAAAAAAGAAAAAAGAATGCTAGTCTAGAGACACAGGGTAGGTAGATGGCGGGGAGGATGCAGGAGAAGGGAGCGTGAGTAGCCTTTACTGTTGTCAGTGGTTAGAGGTCAGGGAGTGAAAGCACACCTGGCAGTAAGGGTTCCCTGGTGGAGTCCAACACCTGATGGAGATTCAATTATCATCATTACATCACACACTACTGTATAACAACCCTCCATATTAGAAATATATCATGAGAACAACATTTTTTATATATATTTATAATCATTTCCTGAGTTGTTTGAATTCAAATGGAATTAGGCCCAAACCCTTTGAAGTGATCAAATATTCAATAAAATAAAATAAATTGAATCCCCCCCAAAGGAAAAGTGTCTTGTCGTCCTCTCACCTCGTACGTGGTCCCGTTCCAGAACTGCCTCATCTCCCCTCTCCTCCAGGCCAGCAGAGCAGATACCAGCAGGGTGACTGGAACCAGGTAGAGCAGAGCTGGCTGCCCCATCTTAGTCACCAACATCACCGCAAACGTCACAACCATACCACACAGGTAGGCTGGGGGAGGGGGTGGGTGGAGAGGAGGAGAGGAGATGATCAAAACGATGATGATGATGATGATGATGATGATGATAATGATCAGTAATGTATTGATAATGTCCATGTCATTACCTATGCAGCAGCAGAAAAGGTAGATCTTCTTGGGGCTGTTGACCCACACATCAAACCTGCTGCAATAGGACACCAGAAGACCTGTTGGACCAATCAGCAAACAGAATATATGAAGGTCTGAAGCTATCGTCCAATGAGAAGGCAGAACAGAAGGGTGTGAACATGGAGCTGATACTGAGTCTTTAAAAACGCTCCTGGAAAAAAAATTACTTTATGAACAGATCTAGGATCAGCTTACACGCCAAACTTCCTAATTATAACCATTATAGAGGGAAGCATAATACTGATCTTACATCATTGTTTAGAGACACGGACCTGTAGGGCTCTGGTTAGGGTTGCAAAGCTACCGGTAATTAACAAAGTTACCAGAAACGTAAGTAATTTTGGTAATTAACAGGTAATCTATGGTAATTTTTCTGTGTCCATATTGTCCATGAGTATCCAGTGGATAGACTATATGGTTCAAGAAAAAATAGCCTAATTCATGAAAAAAGCATTTAATCAACAATAGCATTTATTTTCTATTAACTCTGCAACACTTCCAACTATTGACTTTCTTCACAACTGACACCAGCTTGGCACAAAAATATTTACAACAAAGACATATTAACATAGTAAAATAAATAGAAGTGTGTAAAAAGAATATAAAGGATATTTCATGCTGATACCCTCATGTTAAACACTAATGGCATTCACTAAATTGATGGTTTATATAATGTTTTACAGTTGTCATTATATTTTTTTATTTAAAAATCATCTTATTTGATTATTGTATATATTTTACATGTGATAAGGCCACACAGAGGGCCAGAGATAATTACAGACACCTGTGATAATCTGAAGTACCCAAGGCCACTAGATGTCATCTGATAAAATAGAAAATAAAAATATACGTTACCGTAATTCTGGTAGTTTACTGGTAAATGTTAAAAGTTTCCAGTAATATACCCTCCCTTTGCAACCCTAGCTCTGGTCAAAAGTAGTGCACTATATAGGGCATAGGGTGACATTGCATAGGGTTGACATTTGGGATGCAACCATGTTTATCTCACCTGGTACGATAATGTCCCCATAGCCCAGGATGGAGAACTGCATGCCACACAGGTTCTGTGCCCATGAAGAGAACCGTGGAACACGCATCACTACCGGGAGCTACCAGGGAGAGAACACAGGCAACAGTCAACTAACGGTCAACTAACGATTAAATAAAAACCATCTAACACTCTGTTAAATAACAATTGACTAAAAGTTAACTAAAGCTCAACCAAAACTAAACTAAAGCATAATAAAAACTCAACTAAAACTAAAATCAATCACAGAGACACATCCTGAGGATTACGAGTGTTCACTATAATATATTCTGAATCGAAACCAACTACAGTACTTCCATTTAAAAAAACAGAAAACAGACATACATGTAATGTCAATATGCCAACTGTCAAGCCATAGTGATTGTTAATGACATGAACATGAGACACACAGGAACGCAATCAGTTCACCACCAAATCACACAGCAAATATATCAATGTTTTATTAAATGCAGATTAAGCCCTCATTATTTAAACTCTTAGGCTACAACGCAATTACTTGAGATTGTGTAATATTGTATAATAGTACAGTAAAGTTTGTTAGAGACAGGATTTTTCCCTGGTCAGGTCATGTGAATAAAAACTCTTGGCCCCACACATGAGGAATCAGATGTTAACACAGTTGTCACATGACATAAGAGCCAGTCATGTGACGGTTGGTTGGTATGTGCTGTATGTTCTCGCTCTCTCTCTGCTGATAGTCATGTAAGGGACTAGTGGAGATGGGGCCATTTCACTACAGCTTTTAAAAGGAACAATCTACAATATTTACAGCAATATATAAATTCCCATTTATTCTTTAAGAATACGACTTATAAATGCCTTATGAACTTAGTATAACCATCTTACCCCAGCATAAAATATATGGTTGTTTTACTTCATTGTTTGTAAACAATGTATTTGTAAAACTAACAACATATAGCTTTAAACTATGGCTTTAAACATATGGGCTTAATCCAAACAATGGTATAGCGCAGAGATGAATGGCTAGGTGGGCGGGCAGGGTGTGAATAAATGAATGCATTTATTTGATCATTAACAGTACATATGAAGCTGAGTGGTAAAGCGGTGGGGTCTTACTTTCTCATATGTAGTCGAGGGTTCGGCTGGCACCTCCACCGTGTTACCCTGCGTCGAGACAGAACACCCCAACCAGACGCAGTCAGTTTGCATCCTAAATGCCACCCTATTCCCTACATAGTGCACTACTGTTGATCAGGGCTCTGGTCAAAAGTAATGCACTGTGTAGGGAATAGGGTGCCATTTGAAACACATCCTCAGATAGTAAGCCATTCCGACCCCGAGGGAAATCTAATCTACACCGCAATGCTGCAACGGAACACAGCAGATGAGATCACAACTACGCAGCCTGATTCTAGTCAGGGCCAGGAGTGTTTACTGGGTCGGGGAACACTCAGTCAAGGAAAACTCCTGACCTTACTGAAGGTTAATCAAGCCATTTTAACATCCAGAGATTGAAGATTCAAGTTTTGACAGACAGACAGACAGATCGAGAGAGAGAGACATACAGGCAGGCAGACAGACAGACATGCAGACAGACAGACAAGTGGTTACCTTCTCTCCTGCTGCGTCTGGACCCATGGCCACTTGGACCATGATGCTCTCCCCATTCTGTAAAATATTAAACATTTAAAACGAGGGACAATGTATTTAACCTTTCTATAAAAAAAAATAAGACAATATTGCACTGTATTTAAAGGGAAAAGTGACTCACCGGCATGAACAGAGGAGTGATGAAGACAAAGAATACATCATACAGCAGCAGCAGACTCAACAGGATCACACAGATCTGAGGAGGGAGAGAGGGGGGGGGGGGGGTGGAATGGAAGACAGGTGAGGGGGAGAGAAAGAGAGAAGAAAGAAAGAGAGGGAAAGTGAGAACAGATGTTTAGAGACGTGTCCACAGACTTAGTTAGACAACATATTTTTAATCGGTCTGTGAGGGCATGGGCGGCGCCATTGAGGCCATCTCCATTTTAGAGTAGTCCATTTTCTTCTTCTACTACTTTATGAGTTGGTAAACAAACTGAAAGGGGGCATACTGCCACCTGTAGTGTGTTGTTTGAACAGGTATAAAGCCAAGGTTGGCGATTTACTGCCACCTGCAGTTATGGAATGTTTGCTCACGAGTATACTTCATTGGCTGATCCCACCCAGCTGACTACTTTAAAACGGTGGAAGTCCTCAATGGCAATGTCCATGCAAAAACGTGTTATTTCCAAGTAGTGATCTCTATCTATCTCTATGGTGGCCCTCTTTGTGACTGAAGATCAGAGGTGAGAGGTCAGAGTGAAGATTTCACCTTGAAGTTGGACAGTGAGATGGTCTTCAGGAAGTTGAGACAGAAGGCCACACCCAGGAGGTCCTGCAGGATCCAGATCCACCTGGCAATAGAGTAGAGTAGTTTTTTTCAACAACACACTTCAGCCTGTCAACTAACTATTAAATACAACCAAACTGATTTAATAAAGGTCATAAAGAAATAGGTTATAAAGTGCATGTCAAGCTTATCACCCTCACAAACATAAGGACAACCATTGACAATGGTTCCTGTACTTTACCCTGAAATGGCCCAAGCATTCATTGTTAGTTTAGTTTTAGTTCAATTTTTTCTGAAAGCAAAAATGAGAGCATTTTCCCAGTTATTACATTTACATTTTAGTCATTTAGCAGACGCTCTTATCCAGAGCGACTTACAGTTAGTGAGTGCATACATTATTTTTTTATTTTTTCATACTAGCCCCCCGTGGGAAGCGAACCCACAACTCTACCAACTGAGCTACATCCCAGCCGGCCATTCCCTCCCCTACCATGGACGACGCTGGGCCAATTGTGCGCCGCCCCATGGGTCTCCCGGTCGCGGCCGGCTACGACAGAGCCTGGATTCGAACCAGGATCTCTAGTGGCACAGCTAGCACTGCGATGCAGTGCCTTAGACCACTGCGCCACTCGGGAGTATGATCCAGTGAACTAGTAAATGTGTAATCTGAGTGAGTTATAATGTGTGGGGTGGTGGAAAGGGAAGTGAAACCACATTCTCTAGAACATTATAATTATCCACCATGCTTTGCTTATGGAAAAGTTTCATACGACATTATCTGTGGACAGTGTGTTGCTGTTGTAGACTGGGGACATTTAGTTATCATGTCTACTAATACTTCTACTGCGCTAAGGACTAAGGACAGTCACTAGCCTGTATGAACACACACACTACCCACCATGATGTTATTCTGTTATTGGGCATTAGTGGGACTAACGGTTTCGGTCTGTCAGAGAGTGCGTCCCAAATAGTACCCTACTCCCTATAAGTGCACTACTTTTGACCAGCAAAAGTAGTGCACTATATCAGGAATAGGGTGCCATTTGAGACACAACCAGAGACAGTCAATGAGGCAGTGAGGGATGCTGAACTAAACTAAACTAACACCAACAACACGCCTCTACTCTGCTGATGACGTCCGAGTCCTCCAGACTCCTTCATCCTGATGTCCCAGCCACAGCATTCCAAAGGGTTGTATCAGTGTGCGTGACTGTGTCAGTGTGTGTGTGATAGACAGTACCTGTCCTCGTTCCTGTAGACTCCCCAGACCACGGCTACGGTGACACACACAGCAGACAGCAGCACCGACCTCACGGATACACTCCTACCCAGGACCGTCACACTAGAGGAACACAGCACACATGAGAGAAGAGAGAGAGTGCACAGGCAACCACAGAAAGGTCCGTATGACTCACAAAAACATGTGTGTGTGTGTGATGTTCGAGGAGACGGGTGCGTGTGATTCACTTTTTTTAAAACTTCTCTCAGAACTTCCATATGAAACTATGACCGATGAGTTGTTTATGACAGACAGAGAAACAGACAGGGAGGACAGATGTCTATGGAACAGACAGAGGAACAGACAGGGAGGACAGATGTCTATGGAACAGACAGGAAGGACAGATGTCTATGGAACAGACAGAGGAACAGACAGGGAGGACAGATGTCTATGGAACAGACAGGAAGGACGGATGTCTATGGAACAGACAGGAAGGACGGATGTCTATGGAACAGACAGGAAGGACGGATGTCTATGGAACAGACAGGAAGGACGGATGTCTATGGAACAGACAGGAAGGACGGATGTCTATGGAACAGACAGGAAGGACGGATGTCTATGGAACAGACAGGAAGGACGGATGTCTATGGAACAGACAGGAAGGACGGATGTCTATGGAACAGACAGGAAGGACGGATGTCTATGGAACAGACAGGAAGGACGGATGTCTATGGAACAGACAGGAAGGACGGATGTCTATGGAACAGACAGGAAGGACGGATGTCTATGGAACAGACAGGAAGGACGGATGTCTATGGAACAGACAGGAAGGACGGATGTCTATGGAACAGACAGGAAGGACGGATGTCTATGGAACAGACAGGAAGGACGGATGTCTATGGAACAGACAGGAAGGACGGATGTCTATGGAACAGACAGGAAGGACAGATGTCTATGGAACAGACAGGAAGGACAGATGTCCATGGAACAGACAGAGGAACAGACAGGAAGGACAGATGTCTATGGAACAGACAGAGGAACAGACAGGAAGGACAGATGTCCATGGAACAGACAGAGGAACAGACAGGGAGGACAGATGTCTATGGAACAGGGAAATAGTCTCAAGCTTTACGTTGTTACCATAGAAAACCTTGACACTCTGTAAATACCATGATTTTAAAGGGGGGAGGGGGGGGGGTGGGTGTACCTCATGGGGCTACACTTGGCCAGGTCCAACAGGGCGTCCAGACAGCTGAAGAGGGCGGTGGCAGACGCTAGGCAGAATATGGCGATGATCACATACACTGGAAAACACACAAATACACAGAGAAAATATAAAAACACACCTGAACGAACTCCTTATGAGATAATCACTGAGTGTCTAACAGCTTTTGGTGTGGTATGTTTGCTTTGCATATAAAACTGTTAATAAACTGTTAATGAACTTAACACATTGTGAAAAAATGTAATACAAATACATTAAGCAGTGTTTGTCCAGAGTGAAAGACTGACCCAGGTACTTGTAGAAGAAGTACATGAGTACCAGCATCAGACACATCAGCGCTACAAAGATGACCACCTTCAGGGGAGAGTGCAGAGCCAAGTCCCCACTGTCACTCTTCTCCTCTCCTCCCCCTCCCCCTCCTCCTCGAGATGCACTCAGCCTCTCTCTGACACACAGACACACACAAAACACAGACTGTTACACAGTGTAGAGTGGCTGAAGAGTGGACAGCATGCATGGCTGTCCTTTTCCGAAGGAAATAAAGAAACGTGTGTGTGCAGTCTCACCTCTCACAGGCTCCGCTCCAGTAGCCTCCCAGAGCAACAGTCACTACTCCTATGAGCAGCATGACCACAATGCTGGCATCAAACACAGGCACCGCCGGGGCATACAGCCTAACCTGCATCTCCTCACCAAACACCTGGAGAAACACACAGAGAGATCATACACTAACACACATTTTTACATTTTACATTTTTAGTCATTTAGCAGACGCTCTTATCCAGAGCGACTTACATATTATTTTTTTTATACTGGCCCCCTGTGGGAATCGAACCCACAACCCTGGCGTTGCAAACACCATGCTCTATCAACTGAGCTACATCCCTGCCGGCCATTCCCTCCCCTACCCTGGACGACGCTGGGCCAATTGTGCGCCGCCCATGAGTCTCCCGGTCGCGGCCGGCTGCGACAGAGCCTGGATTCGAACCAGGATCTAGTGGCACAGTTTTGCACTGCGATGCAGTGCCTTAGACCACTGCGCCACACCTGAGGAGACACACACACTAATGTCTCATGTATATTCTTATTGATTGAAAGATATACTGTAGATACATGTTTTTGCATTAAATCAGAAGACGTGAATAAGCACTATACCAGAGGACCTACAGTTCCAGAGAACTCACATTCTGTGCGTCCAGGAAGTCCCTGTATCTCATCAGAGCCAGCGGAATCTGGACCTTATCATCCTCTGTCACATTGGCTGCCGGGGGACTCTTTAGAACCAATCAGATGAGATATAAAACAAAACACAGGTCTGAAAAAGCACACTCAAAGATGTAGGCCTATCATGTTATACCATAGATGTAAATTAAGTGCTGCATCATAGACACATTGGAGGTAACACTATTGATACATTGTAGATCCATTATCAAAGCCTTACCATAGATGTAGTGCTGGCAACGATCAGAGCGGCAGCCCCCAGGTCCTGGGCTACCAGAGCCTTCTGGTTAAAGGTACACTTCCCTCTCATGACCACCACCGCCTTGCCCCTCACTGTGGCCGGGCTCACCCCTGCAGAGCTACAAAGTAGGCTGGAGGACAGGTTCACCAGGGGATACGCCGTCTAACACAGGACAACAGGTAGGGTTAGACAATCAATCAATATATTAATAGCTATGATGTATTGTCACTGTAGAAAGGCTGAATCCCAGAGCCACTACACAGCAGGCTAGATGTCAGGTGAGGTTCACCTAGTTCTGTGGGTTCACCAACACATACTAAAGTCCAACAAAGTCGAGGCTGGAGCAAATGGGGGCATAGGGCAGCTGAATATCAGAATGGTCGTGTTGCTGGACTGGACTTACAGCAGCGCTGAGGGAGAGTGACAGGTTGGTCCATAAGGAGTTGTAGACCAGGCAGTATTCTTTATCTGTGGCTCCATTTGAGATGTGCAAGATTGCCTCTTGACAGTTCACCTGTGTGGAATAAAAACAGTAACTAAGTGAAATACATAGAACGCAACATGTATTTCAGAGTAAACAAAGTATAAGAAACAACAACAGCTCGTTTGTTCAGAGACTGATCAGTGTTAGCAGTGTAACACTTTTTCATTACACTGTCAGTATCTGTTCCATTCCGAAGCTTGCCTGGAAAGTTAGGTAATTCCCCATAGCCAAGCCATAAAAGAGCTCAGCTGGCTAATTTAGCTGAGGGCTAATTGGCTAGCTAGCTACATGAAGATGGCAAACCTGCCTAACAGGATAAAGACACTCGAAATGACAATTGTAAAGGTGACATTATCCATTTGTCGATAGTATTTGTGAAATAAATGTCACATAGTTGTCTACATGTCGACATAGTTGGACATGGCTTGCTTACTAGCTAGCTAGCTACATGTTACAGCTACCTCTGTATTGTTATGATAAATAACGTTAGCTAGCTAGCTTTACCTACAATAACAGCTAACTGCCTATTTTACCTGAGATGACAGGAGAATGACTGATAAAATAATAATCCACGGAGTTTTTGCCATGTCGGTAACATCCGTGATTGAGTAAAAATCGTGTTCAGAAAGAAAACGCTAATCTGTGATTTGGCACGACACTAGTTTCAACATCGTCCCTTTTATTGTACTCGCATAATCGTTTTCAGAGTTAGCCATTCACTTCCTGTTCCTCATGCGGATGGATCTCGTGAAAGCTGACAACATCTTGGCAAATGCTGACATGCACTGCATTTTATCAATGCATTCACTGTTCCCATATCATTATATGTCAATATTTCTTCTCAGTATAAATATCATGACAAAAGTTGTTTATTATGTAACTGTCTGCATGTGTACCAAATATAATTATAACTAACCCAAGATAGTTCACCTGTGATGTGTCCGAGTTACCCCTTCTGTCTGTGAGTGTAATGGGAAACTAAGTCATCCATTACAACCAAAGACTGTATGATTATGGCGCTTTCAAAACAACTGGGAACTCGGTCAAATCATGACGTCAGTGAGCTTCAGGTCAGAAAGAAGGAGCTCTAGAAAGATGCCATAGTTTCCGACTTGGAATTCCAAGTTGGATGACCATTCAAAAGATTTTTCCCAGTCGGAGCTTGATTTTTTCCAGAGTTCCCAGTTGTCTTGAACGCACTGATTTCGGAAGTGAGAGATTTCAGAGTTCCCAGTTTTTTTGAATGCGGCATTTCAACCCACAGCCTGTCTGTGGTTTGTGAGACAAATGTCAAAGTCATGCCAGATGACAATAGTAGAATCTCAATTGCATACTCCGTGCGTCCTCTCCTCGCCTCCTCAAAACCCATTGGAAGAGAAAGCCCGGGGTACCTCCTCTCTGACCTTCTCCTCCAATGGGTTTTGAGGAGGCGAGGAGAGACAACACGAGGAGATTTTCTCCTTGTCCCCATATTGTCCATGTAGGAGGGGTAAGTGTTAATAAAATCTACTTATCATAGTGATGGGTCATTCATCTGAGTTTCCCAAATTGCACCATTTCCTTTATAGTGCACTACTTTTGACCAGGGCCCATAGGGTAGTAGTTCACAATATAGGGTATAGGGTGCCATTTAAGTGTTCCTAGAGAGGACGATCAGATATTGGTGGTCCTCTGTAGCTCAGCTGGTAGAGCACGGCGCTTGTAACGCCAAGGTAGTGGGTTCGATCCCCGGGACCACCCATACACAAAAAAATGTATGCACGCATGACTGTAAGTCGCTTTGGATAAAAGCGTCTGCTAAATGGCATATTATTATTATTATTATATTGCTACAGTCAAACCTGACAAAGAAAGACTTTTCTAAGATGGCATAGAAAACAATTTTTATTACGATTCTAGCTAATGAATGAGAAAAATACATGTATAAAAACACATTGGCTGAAATCAATGCAAAAGCTTAAAAGCTTTTGAACAAGTGTGTACAAGAAACAAAATGGTCCAGTGTGCCCTACCTACACATTTCAAGTTTATTGGAAAACAGCATTCTCTATTTACTCCTGAAGGCAACTCAAAGAATATGGGATATTTAACAGAATAAAGCAGTTAACATGGCCTATGTCCCCAACAGCAACCTATGCCCTATATAGTGCATTATTTTTGACCAGGGCCCATGTGTCTCTGGTCAAAAGTAGCACACTATATAAGGAATAGGGTTCCATTTGGGATGCAAACAGACATTGTTTAAAAAGTCTCTAGTTTATGATTTGATAATGAACCAGATACTACTAATCATGTGCTTCGTATCTCCACAGTGGCCCAGCCACCACACGAAAGGTAATTTTTCCACAAATCCGACTATAAATACAGGCAAGACCTAAAAACACGACCACACACTCCTGAACATTTTTTGGGGAAACATTTGTTCACACAGGCACACGCACAGCCGCACACACACACACACACACACACACACACTACTCTTACAGTGCAACAGCATGGCAGACAGACAGATAGCAGTGATTTAATATAAATGAATTATATACAGGTTCCTGGGGAGCAGAGCAGTTGTTTCATCATTTGGTCGTTTGTCTGGTTCAGATAAGAGTGTTTTTACAACGCCTCCTCTTCAGATCTACAGCAGTAGTTAGCACAGGCTTCTTATCAGACTGTGGAGAAAGAATACATACATACATCACATTAATGCAGCTGGCAAATTCACATTCATGTAAAGTTTAAAACACACATTACACAAACGTTGAATGAAGCTTTCGTAGACACAAGGAGCATGTTAACAGTACTGATAACACGTTGACATCACAGTAGCAACACAGTACTGATAATAAGTTGACATCACAGTAGCAACACAGTCCTGATAATACGTTGACATCACAGTAGCAACACAGTACTGATAATACGTTGATATCACAGTAGCAACACAGTACTGATAATACGTTGACATCACAGTAGCAACACAGTCCTGATAATAAGTTGACATCACAGTAGCAACACAGTCCTGATAATACGTTGACATCACAGTAGCAACACAGTACTGATAATACGTTGACATCACAGTAGCAACACAGTACTGATAATACGTTGACATCACAGTAGCAACACAGTACTGATAATACGTTGACATCACAGTAGCAACACAGTACTGATAATACGTTGACATCACAGTAGCAACACAGTCCTGATAATACGTTGACATCACAGTAGCAACACAGTCCTGATAATAAGTTGACATCACAGTAGCAACACAGTACTGATAATACGTTGACATCACAGTAGCAACACAGTACTGATAATAAGTTGACATCACAGTAGCAACACAGTCCTGATAATAAGTTGATATCACAGTAGTAACACAAAAATCTAATTTATTTGTCACATGTGCCATTTACAACAGGTGTAGACCTTACCGTGAAATGCTTACTTACAAGCCCTTAACCAACCATGCATTTAAGAAAAATAAGAGTTAAGAAAATATTTACTAAAAAAGTAACGAGGGTATATACAGGGGGTATCAGTGCCGAGTCAATGTGCGGGGGTACAATGCAAATAGTCCGGGTAGCCATTTGATTAACTGTTCAGCAGTCTTATGGCTTGGGGATAGAAGCTGTTAAGGAGCCTTTTGGACCTAGACTTGGCGCTCCGGTACCGCTTGCCGTGCGGTAGCAGAGAGAACAGTCTATGACTAGGATGGCTGGAGTGTTTGGCAATTTTTAGGATCTTCCTCTGCCACCGCCTGGTATAGAGGTCCTGGATGGCAGGAAGCTTGGCCTCAGTGATGTACTGGGCCATACGCACCATCCTCTGTAGCACCTTGCGGTCGGATGCAGAGCAGTTGACATACCAGGCGGTTGATGCAACCAGTCAGGAGGCTCTCAATGGTGCAGCTGTAGAACTTCTTGAGGAACTGAGGACTCATGCCAAATCGTCTCCTGAGGGGGAATAGGCGTCGTGCCCTCTTCATGACTGTCTTGGTGTGTTTGGACCATGATAGTTTGTTGGTGATGTGGACATGAAGGAACTTGAAGCTCTCGACCTGCTCCATTACAGCCCTGTTGATGAGAATGGGGGCGTGCTCGGGCCTCCTTTTCCTGTAGTCCATGATCATCTCCTTTGTCTTGATCACATTGAGAGAGAGGTTGTTGTCCTGGCACCACACAGCCAGGTCTCTGACCTCCTCCCTATAGCCTGTCTCATCGTTGTCAGTGATCAGGCCTACCATCGTTGTGTCGTCTGCAAACTTAATGATGGTGTTGGAGTCGTGCTTGGCCACGCAGTCGTAGGTGAACAGGCAGTACAGGAAGGGGAATAAGCACGCACCCCTGAGGGGCCCCCATGTTGAGGATCAGCGTGGCAAATGTGTACTGAAAACACGTTGATATCACAGTAATAACAAAGCACTGATGACACGTTGATATCACAGTAGTAACAGTAATGATAACACGTCAATGTCACAGTAGTAACACAGTACTGACAACACGCTGATATCATAGTAGTAACACGTTGATAACACATTGTAACACAGGGAGCAGCAAGTGTCTCACCTCATTATTCCTGATTGCTCTCAGACCCTCCGTGATAACCTCCTTTAGATTTCATCTGGGCCTGAACAGAGTTCACCTACACACACACACCGTCATAATGAACAGAAGACTTGGATAACGGTTTGTAACTGCTTCGATTCTTTACCTAGTAGATATGACATAAGGCTCTGTTCTCTGTGTGAGGGTAGGAGGTCAGTACGTACCGATGACAGCCCAATGCCCATGTCTCCTGAGCCTACGTGTGTTGTGTGAACAAAGTTGGTTGGTTCTCCGATCATTGAACGGTCTATCCTCCGCCGCCTCTTCTGTAAAGCAATAAAGACATAGTAGTGTTACTACAGGCAACAACAGTCAACTGTTTTATTAACAGACACTCACACAGGCTGATAAGAAGTACAGAAGATGAGAAGACCTGGTTCTACTTCAGTGTCTAGCACCTTCCCCTTTAGTGTTCACACTTCATAGACTGAAAGG